ACAATATTAGTTTTTTGATATAAATTGACACTTAATATATTAATTAATATGAATTAATTAATTGATATTTATCATTTTAATTTGCCACTTTAATTATTAATCTCATTGATAATTATTACTAAAATAAAAATAGTAATAAAATAAAATTAGCATTGGTTGCTCAGCTTAGTTTCTTTTCTTATAAAATTTATAATTAATAAAAATTAATGCATAAAAATTTTTATTTACAAAATTATTATTATTCACAAAGATATAATATTATTAATTATTTCATTTTTCTTTATTTTTATTTATTGAAAGCAAGAAATATTTTATTTTAAATAAAATATTTTAAATTAAAATAATATGTAATTGTTTTTCGATAAATAAATACAAGTTATTTATGGAAATTTTAAAAGAAATCAATAAAATTAATAAAATTAAAGAAATAAAAAATTTTATGTAAAATTTTTAAAATTTTTTTTCGATATTAATTCAAAATACGTTAATTTCGCAGAATTATTTAAAATTATTTAAATAATTATTTTTCGATTTTATAAAATGAAAAATTGAATTTGTATAAATTTAAAAAATCTTCAAATTACATGATTTATGCAATTTTTTCTAGTCAATTAACGACAATATTGTTTTAAGTAATTAGCGAAAATTTTTATTATTTTTAGTTAATTTTCTTTTCTTCCTTTCACTAAATTTTAACGCAAAGCACTTATTAATTAAACATAAATTGTGTTAAAAAACGTTATTGTTCGTGAAAAATATTTTAATAAATATTATAAATATTATTAAATGTCAAGAATTTCATTTTTAGAATATTTGATCATTTTATTAATTAAATATTTGTTTAAAATGCTTCCGAAATGAAACTAAATATATTTTTTTTTTGAATATCGTTTTAAAGATTTTTCATAAAATAATATATCTTAAAAATTTTGCTTTTTTCGATTTTCGGTTAAATTGAATTCTATAAAATATTGTTTTTTTTTTTTAAATATAAATCATTTATTTATTTGTTAGTTGTTGAAATTTAGATTATTTTTATTTTAGATTATTTTAGATTATTTTTATTTTAAAAATTAATTTGTTTTAAAAATTTTTAATTTAATTTTTTTTGTTATTTAACTTATCCAATTTTATTTTATATATTTAAAATTTAAAATTGCTTACAAAGATTATAATGAATATAAAGAATTATATTATTATAACACTATGAATATAATTAATATGAAATTTTACTAAAAAAAAACATTTTTTATTTCGTTTTGTGCAATTTTCGAGTAAAAAATATAGGTAGATAAGAATTGATGAGGAAATGATAAGAGGCTGATAAAGAAAAAAATGCAAAATTGTGGTCGGATAAATTTTAATGAACTTTTAATTATTTTTTTTTAATATCCCCCATCATTACTAGTTACACTCGCACCGTCGCACTAGACCCAGCGAATCCCATGACGATAGAGGTACCGTTGAGTCAACAGCATCACCTTAACTTTTGCACAGATTCACTTCTGCGAAGAGTGGAACCTCAGCATTGACGCTCCTTTTAATCAATGTTGTATACGACAATTATTATAATGTATCGTTAAGATTTATTAATTCTCTAATAAAACCTTTTAATCTATTGGCAATTGCGAATTGGAAATCTCAAACAAATATGTACTATTTAATAACAAAAATTATTTAATAATAAAACGATAGTTCAATAATCAAATTATAAAAATAGAAAAAAAAAGGAAAATTTATAAAATTAATTTTGTAGAAAATTATAAAAAGCAGAATAAATTAATTTTAATAGTTTTCAGTAGAATATTCTGTAATTTTTTCGTGGATTTATTAAGTTTCATCATTTAATTATTAATTAAATCAACTTTTCTTCATTTTATAAATTTTATAAATTTTGATATTTTCGAAAACTAATCTCAATTTATCATTATTTTATCAATCAAACAACAAGTTTCAGTTTCTATAATTTTTTTATCACTTATAAATTTTTACATTTTTATTTTTATCTTTTATTATCTATATTATCATAATAATTCTATTTTTTGTTAGTATTTTTAAATTTTATAAAAATTATTTCAATTTTTTTTTTGAATTATTATTAAAACATGATTTGTTATTTCATAGACCAATAGACAATGTGACCAATTCTTTCAAATTCTCTCTAAATTTTAAGATTCTTATGAATGATAATTGCTTCAACTGAAAGATTAAATAATTTTAGATTCAATTGTTCTGTCATTTACGCAATCACTGAAAAAAATAAAATCGGATTGACAGTTGAAAAATTTCATTTAAAAATTATTTCTGCACAATATTAAAAAAAAAAAAGAAAAATTCATTTTTTTCGTTTATTTTTACTGAGAAAGTCGATAATTCGACTGAATTAATCATTAATTTCATTAATTATGATAAGTAATTTAATCACTATTGCTCATATGGTAATTCTCTAAATAAATGAATGACTTTTGGTTCATACCCCATATCTTATATATCCTTTTTTGGAAAATCCAGAACTTTGGAAGAATCCAGTACAAATAGAAGTAAAATTCCAGGATTTCGGAAAAACGATGAGGGGCTTATTTATGCCAGTAAGTGGAAAGACGTTTCGATAGAGCAACAACAACAACTCACTGAATTATTCTTCCCATCGTCTCTTATTCGCTATTTGACGAAATAAAATTCGCTTACAATACAAATACAAATTTACTGGTAATTTACCAGTAATTTTATGCTAATTTCTATTAATTAAAATTATTTCAAAAATTATGTATTTCGAAATAAATATTTTATAGTTTTATTTGCACTATTTCCAATGACATAGTTTTTTTATTTTTTTTATTATTATTATGTATATTATTTATTATTATTATTTATATCATTTATAAAGTTCTGCGAATAAATTAATTTCATTTCAATATTTATATCATTTCAAAATTCTGCGAATAAATTAATTTCATTTCAATATTTTATAATCACTAAAATGTTTTTTGCATTTGCAGAAATTATTCATATAAAAACGCGAAAAAATTTATAGATTTATTTTTATTACTAATTTCAGTTCATTAACTGATAAAAATAAAATAGATTAATTTTGATTATTTCATATGCAAAATAAAAAAAAAAAATAAGTGCGTTAAAAATTTTATTAATTTATATTTATAAATATTAAAAATTGCTTTCAATGATATTAATTAATTTAAACGATATAACCGAAAGATAAGGAAACGAAATGATAAATGAATATAAATATTTTTTATTTTCTTACTATTTATTTGACGAGAATACACAAAACAACAAGTTAAGGTAGTCGAGAAGTTAGGTGCTTACAATCATCGCAAATGCCATAATTTCCATTTGGATTGGAATAAATCTAGCAAGGATTTCAGTTTATAATATAATATGAGATTTTCAGCTGACTATATTCCTATTTCCTAATTTAAGGAAAAAAAAAAACAGAACACATCTGTCTGGTAAAATCGGCTCGATTTGTTGTTTTTTCGGTTGCAAAATTTTTTGGCACAAACTCATTAAGTACAAAGAAATCCTTGAAAAATAAGTCGCTAGAAATTTTTTGCTGGAAGAATTTATCGCTTATTATATCTCTGCTGAGAATAATAGCCGAGAATTAATAAAATTAAAATATAATCATAGAGTTTTTCACAATTTTTTAACTCATTTGAACTTGAAAATATAAAATTTTTAATCATCCAATACATAAGTCGTTGATTAAATTTCTAATAAAAATTATAAAAAGTCAAACGCGAATTTATATTAAATATTTATTATTACTTCTTAATTGATTCTCAAAACTGGTTTTTGAACGCTTATCATTTTTTGTTAGGCTTTCTGCGCTGTCTTATTTTGCCGGATCAAGCAAATTTTACTCATTTTTGCGAAAATTATATGAATGGTTCACGATCGCTATGTGGATTAAAAGTGGGGTTCTTTTCTATTAGGAGTCGAACCTTAGCATCGACGATCATAAATTAAAGTAATAATCCACTGAACCATCCTATAACTTCTTTAAAGAAGGGAAAATATTTATGATTTTTTTCTTGATATCATGGAAATATTCTATTTCAAAAGATTTTTATGCTGCAGTGATAAAGTGATCATCTGATAAAATCGATGATAAATATTTTTTTGGCTTTTAAATAATTTTTCCTTTTATACTTAGTTTTGAATAATCGTTAAAATTTCATTGTTCGAATTATGTTTTTATTCTAATTTAACAAATTGAATGAATTAGTCTATTAGATTGCTTTTCATTGCACATATATTTTCATACGCCAAATATTTCCTTTCTATTCCAAAGACGCATAAAACGCTTTAAAATATAAGAAGGCTTCTTATATTTTATCAGCTGATAGTATAATTTTATTCGTATTTTCCTAAAATTCTCTCGGCAAAAATTTATTTCCTTCAATAAATCAGCAAATCGACGATCTGAAATAAAAGTAATTAAAAAAAATAAAATAAAATAAAAAAGAATCCTTTGCACTTATAAAGAAATTCAATCGAAAGCGATTATATTTCAAAAACAATTTTTCATAAAATCTATTGGCATCGAATTACGCAAATCTATTTCACTAATCATCATCAATCAGCTAATCTAATCTGATCACTTACGAAAAACTCTCACAAATTTCTTTTTTTTTTTTCAATAATTTTTAATGAAGGCGTGCAAACTACTTTAAAATCTTATTTCTTTAAAAAATATTATTTTCTAAATGAAAAATTCTATTAAACGAACTAATATTTCATTTTTCATTTTTTCTTAGAAAAATTTTATAAATTTATAAATTTTCGTATTTTTTTTAAAAATTTATAATTTTTAATATTTGAAAATTTATAATTTTTATAATTTTTTTTTTTGAATTTTTTCACTGAATTAATTTGCGAAAATTATAAATAATACAAATATTTAGGTGTTATTTAACAATTATAAATATTATTATTTTTATAAAGCAATGAAAAGGAGATATTTCTACTGAAAAATAATGGACGAACCTCCCGAACCAATTGCAAGTGATTATGTGGAACTTGGAACCTTAATCGTTTTATTTCTTATAGGTGGTCCTATAAATTTAGTTGCATATACTCAGGTTATCTCTTTTTTTTTAAAAATTAAATTAAATTTAAAATTTCAAGTTAAAAATTTAAATTAAAAATTTAAATTAAAATAACCCTAAAAATTTCACTATTAAAAACAATGAATGAAAATTTTATAGTTTTTTTGTAAATTTTTTTTTTGCTCAAATTTTATAATTTTGAAAATTTCAGATCGCTGAACGACCATCCACTACTCGTTTAGATATTTTAAAGAGGCATCTTAATTATTCTGATCTCTTAGTTTTATTCGTCTACGTACCATCTCGAGCTTGTTGGCTTCTCACATACGACTGGAGAGGCGGCGATTTTTTATGCAAACTTATCAAATTTTTCCATACATTCTCATTTCAAGTAATTTATAATAAAAATTTATAATAAAAATTAGGAAAATATTAATATGTTAATATTTTTTCAAATAAATAAATAAGCATTGCTGTATAATTGTAAAAATTCATAAGATTATATTATATATAATATATAAAATTGCATTATTATATATATATATATATGTATAAAATATAAAATATATAAAATATAAAATATATATAAATAAAATTTATATAAAATTATATATAAATATATATAATTATAAATAAAATTATATATAAAATTATATATAAAATTATAAAGTAGTTTTAAAAAATTTATACGTTGAAAGAATATTTATTTTTATATTTCTATAATTATATATATTTTTATATATATTTTTTATATTTTTATATTTTATATTCCTTAAATCGTTGAATTTTTTGCAAAATTCATTAATTTTTTTGCAAATTTATATGTAAAAAAAGAACTTAAGATATCATCAAATGTAATTGTATGTATTGCACTCGATCGTCTTCTTTCAATTATTTCACCGAATCATCGCTCACCGGAAAAAGCGCAACGCCGTACGAAAATTATGTTAATAACTGCATGGATAACAGCGTTTTTCATTAGTACACCACAATTCGCTGTATGGAAAACTTTTTTGGCGTTCGAACACTTAAATTGGAGCCAATGTATGCAGGTAATTAATTAATTACCAGCGATATTTTATTATTATTTTATTATTTTATAATAGAATTTTAATTCATTAAAAATTCTTTTATTATAAATTTATCATATTTATTGTGAAATTTATTGCATGACATTTTAAATTATTTTATATTAATTTTGATACATAAAAAAAAGTTTAAGTAAGGTTGGATTTAGTTTATTAAGTCGTTTTCGTTGATTAAATTTCATTGAATTAAATGATATTTTTATTTTTTTTTAAATTCGTTTCTTGGCTTCTTTATTTTTTTAGATTTTTCAAATTATATTTTTTCGAAAATGAAAAATAAAAATTGAACGAATCCTTAGAAAATAAATTTTTGAAAAAATAACAATTATTTGATCAAAAATTTTCTCAATGATTTTTCGCAAAATTTTCAAATATTTCATTTTTTTGCATTAAATATTGCATAAAAAATGTTCATTGATAATAATGGAAATAATGAATGAAAATAAAAAAAAAGTTTACTTAATTTTAAAAAAAGAACAATAGAATGGCTTAGTGAATTAAGGAATTGTCATTCTCATTTTGAAATGACATTTTTTACTTTTTACTAATTTCCCTAATTTTATTAATTTATTATATTTACTAATTTTTTATAATTTATAATTTATAATTTTATAATTTACTAATTTTTATTAATTACTAATTTCAGTTGGAGTAAGTCTTTCATAATTCTCGAAATAGTATTAAGTGATTCACCATTGACTATATAATTCTATCGCCATTCGATTCCTCTGGTTCATCCAAACAGAATCAGCGGAATAAGCTTAAGCATTGTTAGAAAAAAGAAAAAAAAAAGAAAAATATTTAGATATGGGAAATAATTCGAGTTGAACAATCATCGTTAAATAATACTATTATAAATTCTGGACAATTAATGGATGAAGAAAATATTTATGTTATAATTCATATGATGTTAATATTTTGGGTTCCTGCAACTATTGTTTTGGTACCAACAACGCTTTTCTTTGCCTTATATTTTTATAATTTCTAAAAGATATTAAACAATTGGCAAAAAAAAAAAAATCCAAATTATATTCAAAGATAGAAACCATAAATGTAGTTAGTCAAAAAACTTTTTAACTAATCCACGAAATCCAATAATCTAACATGGTAGAATTTCCAATCTCTTCAAAAATCGCTATGGATACAAAATGCAACTCGCAAATTATCTTCATTATTATTCGCTAAAAACAATAGAATTTCGCTCAAAAATATTATTTAATAAATTATTATTATTATAAATTTTGAATTTTTTAAATTTTGAATAAATTTTGAATTAAATTTTGAAAGAATTTTGATATATTTTTTTCAAATAGATTATAAAATATTTTAAAATTTTAAAAAAAATTCATTTTTCTTTTAAACAAATGTAAAAAAAATTGCTTCTTTTAGATATGTTATTTGATTGTAACTTGTTGGGTTTATTTAAATTCACGTCCGTCAGTTTTTAGTGGAACACCTATAAGTAGAAATGCACCAAATCGTTCCACATTCACCAATTATCAATTAACCTCAGAGAAAACAAGAAGACATTCAGGTTAATGATGTCCTTTTTTTTTAATTTTTTATATAATAAACTTTTATTTATTATATAATTATCAAAATTTCTGCAGATAAGAAAACTTACGAAAAATCTAGAAAAATTTATTTAAGAATAATTAATTTTAAAAAAAAAGATTTGCAGAACGGGTACCATTAAATTCAATATTAAAACTGGGAAAATACATGAAACGCGATCGCGTAAATGAGACAAACTCTTCCGCAGGCACCATTTTATTTTAGTTTTATGCAAATATAAAACTTACTTATCAAAATTAATAGCATCAATTTTTATATAATAATAATATTTATATAATTTTATATAATATTTTTAAAGTAATTTATTAATTCTTTTCAAAAAATTTCTCTAATAAATTTTTATTCGCCAAATAAAATCGTTCATCAAAAAATTTTATTGGAAAATTTTTTTTTTATTTACAAATAATATAATATAAAATATAATATAATATAATATAATATAATATAATATAATATATTATATTATATTATATAAGCCTCATTGATAACAAATATATAAAATCTGCAAATTTAATTAATTTAGTGCATTCGAAGATTACGTCAAATTCACAAAATCATATAGAGATCGATGGCTTAGCGCTATCTTCTAATAAAATGTTAAATATCGGTTATGGACCAAATATTCATATGGGTAATAGTCAATCGTATAATTCAAAAGTTACAAGGTCAGATGATGATTTTTTATAAAAAATATAAAAAATAAATATATTGATGTCGGAAGTGCAACAAAATAGCGCTTAAAAAAAAGAACGGCGAATAAATCAAAAATTTAAAGTAGAACGAATTGATAAGATTGATTAAATTGGAACTGATTGATAATATTGAATAAGATTTATTAAAAGTCAAACGAAATAAATAAAAAATTAGATTTTTTTTAATTGAAATGATTTCTAGAATTGCCACATTATTTATTTTATATTTTATAAATGAATTCATCATGCATAAGCTGAAAAATTGCAATAAAATTAGGATGTTAAATTGTACTTCCATTAAGACATTGCTTTAAATGAATTTATATGGAGGGGGAAGGGTGGAGGGGGGAGGGGGAGATAAGAAAACGGACGGACAAATTGCTCAAATAATAATTATAAAAACTCGATATTTGTAGTTATTAAATGAATTTTTATATAAAACATTATTAGAGATTTCATTAGCAATTGCTCAAAATTTTACTGAATTTTTTCTTCTAGCAATTTATACCACTATTGGTTTGATTCGTTTTGTTGGCCGTTAGAGTAAAATGAATAAAATCTTGGTAAATCTAGGATAAAACCTGGGTTATTACTATGGCAGAGATATATTTATCGGATGTACCAACGAGTTATTATGCTATTTGATCCATTTGCCATAGAGTCACTTGAGGATAGATGAGTTCGCAATCCTAGTCAATCCTTTCACGATAAAACAAGCTAATTTTCTTCTTTTTAGGTAATCAAAAAATTATTTAAAATTTAATAAATGCGGTTTGTCTTACTTTATCAAATTCTTCTTCAATTCTTATTGTTGTCTGTCGTTCTTTTGTGAAAAAAACTTGAAAAAGTTTTAAAAAAAATTTCTTAAAAGATCGAAACAGTTTAAGAATGCTTAATTGAATTGTTATTATATAAATTAAATTCAATTTTGAATTTAAAATTTTTATCATAAAATTTTAAAATATTATTAAAAATAATAAAATATTTGACGTCATTTTATATTATGAAAAATTGAATTATGTAAGAGGAATTGACAAATCTCAACAAAAGAAAAATATTTCCTCTGAGAAAAAAATTTAAACATTTCTTTTCAAAATACCTTACACAATCAAATGATAAATTCTTCTCTCTTTTTTTAAATATTTAATAAAGATGCTCATTAATTTAATAATATTGACGAAAATGATAAGAATCTTTAACGCCTGAAGTTTAACAAATTTTATCATAGTTTTATCAATTAGGATAAATTTAATAAATCGACAAGTAATCAGTAAGACGTATTATAAAAAATAAATAAATATTAATGATAAATCTTCCGCATTTAATAAATTATATCAATTCGATTTAAATCTCATTTTTCACTACTGCATATTATTGTTGTTAACTCCATATTACTATAAGCACACCATTTTTAAAAAGATGTAATAAAGGAAAATACAATAATTTATTTTTTAATATTTATTAAATTACAATCAAATGATGAATAATTTGAATAATAGTTTTGAAAACAATTTTTAGTTATCAGTGATCAAATTAAAATAATATGACTGATAACAAATCTCCGATTGCAGGAGACGAGCATTACGCGTTAGCTTCTCATTAGTTGCTGCCTATATAATATGTTGGTTACCATACAATGGTTTAAGTCTTTATCAGTTCGTTGATCCGCAAGGTTTCGTTGAAGCTCATGCGAATAAGGTTAAATTTGAATTTTTCCTTTCCTAATAAATCTATAATCTATATTTATTTGAGGCTTTTCGTTGTTGAAAATAAAAATAAAAAGAAGAATTTTCTTTAAAAAATCCGTGAATTTTTGGTTTATATAGCGAAAAATAGCTAATGTTAATATGTTAATAGCCACAATTATTTTAAGCTAATTTAGCTTTTATTCCAGAAATATTTTTCCAAACATAAAATAAAGCATATTTTATTATATTATATGCCTTTAATTTTGTCCATTTTATGCCAAATTCTAGGTTTATTGCCTTCATAGTATTATGGTATTCAATTCAGTCATTAATCCTTATCTTTATGGTCTTTTTGGAAGTTTAATGTTCCGAAGAACGAACTAATAAATTATTTATATATGAATTGAACTCAATAATTACTATTTCATCTCACTGTGGTAGCGCATTATTATCAAGCTTTTCCAACTATTCAACCTTAATGGAGCAGGTTGAAATATCGCATCTCATCTGAACTTAGCATGTGGCTCTCGTTTTTGAAGCGCAAATGCGAATCATAATTGGCCAAGTGCAATACTGTATCACTATATTTGCTAATATTGCCAATAATAAAAATATATAAAATTTTCAAAAAAATTTTTTTAATTTTTTTTATTTATTTAAATTATCACAAACTTTTCAAATTGTATTTGACGTTCAGGAAAATTCATTTAATAATTCATAATGTTGAATAATTTTGCCTTTTTCTTTTTTTAAAGAATGATTAAGGTTTCAAATAATTTATTTTCGCAGAATATGCGTAATAAAATAGTTTTATGGAAAACGCTGTTTTTAGCGAAATAATTTTAATTTTTTTTCTTTAAAATATTTTTTTTAAAAAAATTATTGAAAAAATTTTGCGCGAAAAAAACTGACACAAAAGCGATTCGAATAAAATAAAATAATTAGAAAAAGAGATTTAAATATTAAAACTATAAATTACATTACTGAATTATTTACAAAGGGATAAAGAATTTTGATAAAAGTTTTAAATTAAGAAATATTTTAACGAACGAAATATTTTATTTATTTGTTGAAAATAAACCAAGCAACGAACGCAATGTGCTTGCATTAAAAACAATAGTATAAATAATAATTAAAATAAAAAAAATAATAAAAATTAGTAATAAAAAAAATGATAAATGTTAATAAAGTAAAGAGGAAATAAAGAGGAGTTGCAAAATAGTACAATTCGAAGTGATTGTTTTATTTATATATAATCAAATGGTAAAAATTAAAATTTCAAACTATTTTAAATTATTTAATGCAATGATAGAAATTCAGAATTATTTTTTATTTATAATTAAAAATAAAATAATTTATCTCACATATTTCTAATGAAATTTTATGAGCTCATGAAAAAAAAAAGTGAAATAGCCTTTAAGTCATTAAAACTATTCAATCAATCAAATCAAATTAAATTAAATAATCTTTCTATTCAAACCAATAATTTTATTTTTATTATAAAATAGAAATTAAATCAAAAAATTTAAATCTTTAAAAATTTTATAATTTTTTATTAATTCTTTACGTATCACTTAAGTGAAACGATAAATGCATATGAATAGTTCGAGTTCGAGTTTTGTTAGGGAAGCAGTTTTGCTTTGGAACTTCAAATTAGAGATTTTAGACTTGGCTTTATCATTTCTACTAGGATGGGTCCTCTTCTTTAGCCAAAAAGTTACTAGTAGAGATGCAAGTGTTCTTCTTCAGCATTGTTCAACTTATCGTTACTGTTATCAATTTAGCTTTAGTTAGCTTTGCATGGAAAATAAGAAAATTTTAAATAGCGGATTTATTATTTTATTTTCTTTATTTTTAAAAGTAAAGGTTAGCAAAGTAAAAGTAAACTTTTAAAGGTTAGTAAAGTAAAAGTAAACTTTTCATAAATTGATTTTTTTGTTATCAGCTGATATTTTTTCTTAATTTGAATAATTCAAATAATGTACTTTTCATTCATTCATTATATATATTTTTTATTCTACGCTAACATAAATCCGTTGAATCTTTTCGAGGTTTGCACAACTGATTAGATAATCAATCAAACATAAAAACGCACTTAGGAGAGCATTTAACGAAGATTTTGTTTCGACAGGTAAATATTTCTTTCTATTAGATGCAATTTTTTTTTTTTTTTGCAATTTGCAATTTTCAAACAAATTGATTTTAGTTGAATTGCAAAATGAGGGATTTAAATATATTGTTAAAGCAGAAAAAAATTTTTATAACATAACAGTTTTTCGAAAAAAAAATCGATTTTTAAAGGCGAATTTTTGTTTAATCAGAAAGTTATGAAGTATTAATTATGAAGTATATTTAAAATAAAAGTATATTGAAAATATATTTAAAACCACATTGCTCAATTGGATTTTTAAACAGTCCACACCGCTTTTTTCAATAAACAGTTCCATGCAGTGAAGAATTAGATAAATTTGAAATGAAAAGAAATATTTGAATCATCATGCTGCCTTCATTATTTTGTCATAACACCACTAATTGTTTGGTGCTGATAGAAGCTGATAAAAGTGACTGTATGTAGCTGATAAGAGCGCGTTATCACGAATTTTCTATGATTAGACGATTTGATAATCGCATTTGAATTTGAGAATTTAAATTGAAATTTGAAAATTTCAATAAGATTATTTTCAAATTTTTCTGGAAAATAAGAGATTTTTTTCTATAATGCAGAAATTTTTTTTAGAAAAAAATTAATTTGTAGAAAATGTAGAAATTTTTCTGGAAAAATGGTTTATTTATATGAAAAAAAGAAATAAAAATTAATGATTTCAAAATGTAAGAATGATAATAATACATTGTAATCATTTCATCAAACATATGTTAAATTATAAATATCACATTTCCAATATGTTTTTTTTTCTTTTTCAAACAAAACAAAAGGCAGTTGTAATTGAAAATAATAATAAAACAGAAATATAACTTCTTTATCTTCGTAAAAAATAAAAATCATAAAAAAATTTTTAGAAAAAATAATGAAATTATACGAATCAAATAAAAACATTTAGAATAAAACACTTATTTTTTTCAAAATAAACCGGAAATAAAAATGAAATTTTCTTAAAAAAACAAACAAAGTGAATAGATAATGAACATATAAACTGAAAAAAATTTTCATCTTTTTCTGACAAATAATGTCATCGTTGCGAGTTTTGGCTTTTTTTTTTTAATAAAATTTTGACAATTTGCTTCTCTGGAAGAAACCTCTGAAAATCCAAAGCAAGCAAAGCGACAAATGAATGTTTTATCAGGAATAATTTATGAATTAAGCTAATTAAGAGAAGTTAAGCAAATGAAGAGAAATTTAGGTTATTAGTCAACGCAACAGCAATAAGTCTTCGTTAAGGCCTCCATTAGTTATTATTTTAGCGGAGAAAAAAGAAAAATTGCATAAAATTTAGCTTCTAAATTCGATAAGTTAGTTATATTAACGTGGAACTATGGCAAAAAAACCTAAAAGACTTTTTACTAGCGCCATTATTGTCTTATTTCTCTTTAAGTTAATACAAACATCTCAATTATCTATGCCATTCCTCATTATATATGACACTAATTAGTGAAATAATTTAAAATACTTAATTAAATAATTCAAAAAATAAAGATTAGTACCATAATAGGAAACTGTGGAACGATAAAGGCTTCATGAAATAACATTGTATTAGTGTATTATTAGTATGATTGTGATAACTGTGATAAAGTTACAATAGTAAATAGCAAATGTATGAAAAAAAAAATATTTGTACGAAGTGATAATAAAAAAATTTATAAATTTATATTCTAATGATTTGCTGTTCAATTATCAGTCATTTCGATGATCCGAATTTCTAGAATAACTCAAATGTAAACGATGAAAAAAAAAAAGGAAAAAAAAAGCTAAAAATTGATGGAATTTTATTTTTATAATTCCATAATATTCAATAGGAAATGAATAATTTATTTGTTCATCCAATAATAATTTCCAAAAATTAAAAAAAAAAATCATAAAAAATCACTTGGCTTCTTAGAAGAATTTTTATATTGAATTATTCTATAGTAAATGCGGAAGAAGAAAGAAAAAATAAATCAACGGCGAGGAATTCTATAAATACAAAAAATATATTAAATAAAATCGTACGAAAATCGAAGCACGAAATATTATTGTTGTTTTATAGAGAGTTTCTTTTTTTAACCATAATTATCAACTAAGAAGGAAAAAAAGACGTATGGTTCCTAGTAGGTTCTCATGGTTTCCAATTAGATTCCAGGTTCTATTTCAGGATTTGTCGTATTTAAGGTTCATTTCTCGTATGACGATGAATAAGGAAATAAACAAATCGATTATAAGTATTCAAATTAAGAAAGAAGCAATCAAGAAAAATATATTAATTTTTTTTTATTCCATAATCCTATTGAATTTCTTAAAATAAATAAGTCTTAAAATAATTTCGTTTGAAAAATTTCCTCATTTGAATGGTACCATTTGATTTCGAAAAAAATCCGTCTGCTTTTTTTGATTTGCTTTAACAATAAAAATGCAATAAAATAACGATGAAAAATGATAGAAAAAAAATAGGATGAAAAAAAAATTGAAGTTAAAAAAAAAATGTGCATCGGAATTTTTACTAAAATATATATAATTAATTAGATATTTATGTATTAATATTTTATTTCAGCCGTGCATATTATACAGCATGCAAAAAAAAAAAAAAATAAATTGTTTTCATATGAGCAAATCGAAAAACCACTCAGAAATGATAAGGAAAAAAAAAAGATCATCAAATGAAGAAATGGCAAAGATAAAATACATGAAACGCAAAGAATAAAAACAATAAATAAAAGTTGACAACTGGAGAGTTAAGATTTAGAAATTTGACTAGAAATATCTGAACTCTCCACGCTTGCCTTGTCTCTTTTTGATATAATCCGGTGTATCGTCGCTCATCATACCTGGACGAGGACTTAACGATGGCCCTGGATGATTCGATGGTGGATTTTGTTGCGATGATGATGTTGCACCGATACGATCCTATAAAATTATTAAAATGAATTGGCAAATATCTTGATAACATTGCAAGATTTTGCATAGATAAAGAGAAAGAGATGTACCGAAAATGAAGGATCTTGAGGAGGCAAAGAATGTGGTGATAGATTACGTTCTAAGTTTATAACTGATAGAATTGTGTGCGGTACATAACCTGTACGATGATGAACATTTCGGCATTCCCACCAATTTTTGTTATCATTTAAGACCTACAATGATAATAAAAATGCATTATCAGCTTTTATCTATCAGTCTTGTTCCAAAGCATTACCAAAAAAAAGTTCAAAAAAAAAATATTCCTAACCTCCAGATATTCACCTCGAGAAACAGTTAGTTCTTTTGGATTTTGTGCTATTCGATCATAGGTAACCTGGACAAGTTTACCTCGTCGAGCTACTATATCATCCAAAAAAGCTTTTTGACGTGGACTTGGATCCGGTTGTGGTATTGGTCCGATAAATGATGATGTTTGTTCACCATTAGTATGCGTGTACTGTTGGGTACTTCGCGATACCACGGGAGATTGCTGATGAGATCTTGTTTCTCTTGAATATTTGAAAAATATTATTATTAAAAATATTAAATATTTAAAATATTTACTATTAATGGAAGATTTTTGGAAGGCACATTGATTATCGCTTATTCCTATTTCATGAAATTTGTAAATTTGCGATTCTTATTTATTTCCAAATATCCAAATATTTTTTTTCCAAATATTTCCAAATATTTTTTCTATAAAAACAAATTTGCCTCAATTTTATCATTAATTTTATCAATTTTATCATTAATTTATTAATCAGTTAATTTTATTTCATTCAAAAAAATAAAATAAAATTTTAAAAAAATTACTCATTTCTAAGAGCATAACTACTTCCCATTGAACGTTGTTCCGCTTCTTGAGCCATTATTTCTCGTTCAGCAGCTAATCTTTGCTTTTCTTGCCTATAATTAGCTCATTATTTTTTAAAAATATTAAATAAATGATTTAATAATATAAATTATTCATGAAATTTTTTCTTCTTCGTTAAAATTTACTGAATTCTTCGTTCATCAGCAATCAATCTACGCTCTCGTTCGGCAATTTTCTCTCTTTCGAAATCCAACCTTTCCTTCTCGAGAGTCATTCTATCCAAATCAATGTTTAACTATAAATACTTATGATAAACATTTATGCTTGGCCAAAAATGTTATTTTTTTTCACAAAATCATAACGAGTATTTTATTTTTATTCATGAATGCTCACTGCATTTGGCCATAAAAGCACATTTTAAATTCAGATTTGATAGCAAAGTGAAATGTCTTTGTTATAATTTTTTTTTTTTTTAAAGAGTCCTCACCATTACTGGTTAAACTCGCTACACTGGCTGGCATTGAGCAAGCCGGCATATGCCAGCGACTCGCTTGACGATAGAAATGCAGGTGAGTCGCCAGCATCGTTTTATTATAATATTTCCATATTCAAAAATTAATTATAATTTAAATTATCATATGTCTAAATAAAACTAACATTATCAACAGATCGATCACGGATAGGTGCCCTCGAATGATAACCACTTTGTGTTTGTGGCGGTGGTGCACTTATTCCACGATGGATTGGCTGAGGTTGATTCAAAAATCTTGCATGTGGATAGGGCAAATTAGTATCGTAACTATCTGGTGCACCGTATGGTGCAAAGCCATCAAGAAAAACGGGTCGATATGGAGCTGGAAGAGGTCCTATCCAGTCTTCGCTATAAATATAACTTGTTTTTAGAATGTCGCATTCAGAAAACGATGAATGAATTATTAGATGTGGTGACAGAGATATGGATAATTAAACTTCGCAATCGTAAGTACCTCTTTATTTTGAAAAATCCTAATAAGAATTTTTTTTACGAACTAAAGAAAGGTACAGAACTTCATTCGATAAATTAGTTTTCTTACTTACGGTGGTACTCTCCATGCTTGTCCAAGCGCCATCCATACATCGGATTCTTTACTAGTCAAACAGTTTTGCATAAGTTCACGAGCGTCACGTGAAAGAAGTGGAGAAACAACCTGAGATTATCGGATAAAATGAATATAAACAAATACTTAGCTATTTCACGCTAAGATATTGGATTTAAGAAATTTCCCTATAATAATAAATATGGCAAATAATCGTTAAATAAATCCAAAAGTTAAAAGATTTTTCACATCTACCTGTGGTGCAATATTTCTTCCAAGTCCCCAGTGGCACGAATCAAGAATAATTGTCAACGGCGTAAAAAGAAAATGAAGTAATTCTGGGGCATTGGGTTCATGGATATGATTCTTGAGCTTTGCCTGAAAGTATTTCTTTAAATTGCGTTGAATTAAAATTTATGTGGAATTCTGTTAATGTTAAGTGAAAAAATAAAATTCTCCAATTCTCCAACTCAAAAACTCACTAATAAATTAAAAGATAGCTTGAATTTCTGTAATATATCAACAAATTCTAATTCGGATGGTAACTGAGCTCGCATTTGAAGAATTCCACTTTGAGCATCAGGAGGAGGTGCGCGATTTCCTCTTTTCCTTTGTGCTGTTCGATAGCGATAAGCTTGTGCTTCAAGTTCCTTCTGTGCTATAGCAGCGGATTGTATACGAGCCACAAAACGTTCGATATCATCGAAACAACGATTGAGAGTATTCTTAAATATTCCAAAAATCATATAGAAATATTAAAAATTTAATAAAAATTTTAAAATTTGTTCTATTTTAATAATTTAATATTTGCTTACCACATCTCTTTCGAAATATTCGCTATTATCAGAACTTGCAGAAGCATCATCGCGATAACCACGAGGTGGAGGACCTATAATTTTTCATAGAATAGTTCAATTGGCAATTTTAAAAAAATTTGTATTAAAAAAAGAATTTAAGAAAATTATTTACCAAATTGTGGCGCAACATAAGATGGTCCAATGAAAAAGCCAGTATCTCGTCTGCCTTTAATGACATGTTGAAAATGGCCAGTAAGGAAAGCTTTTATATCCTCCACTACTTCACCTGCTGATACTCTGTTACACTAAAATAAAAATTTAAAAGAGAAATCCATATTCATACGAATGAATGTCATTCTAATGCAAAGAACTGATAGTGATAAGAACTGATAGTGATAAGACTGATATTGAAATATTTGTCAGTTTTGACACATAGAATTCACAAATGTTTTATTCTTTAAATTCTGCAAATTCATCACCACAGTGATAAATATATGCCAGAATTGTGGTGATTAGCACTCATCATTTCTGGTTATGCTTCCGCCATTAGCCCGTTGATATTCAATAAAATTATTTTTCACTTTACTTTTTTTTTTCTTTGATAATTAAAATTCAAAATATTCACTTGATCCGTAAATTTGCCATTCACATTTTTTCATTAATTTTACCTCGAATTGTCGATATTAATTAATTTCAAATTTTGTAATAAAAAATGCAAATTTTTAATTATATGAAAATTTCTATGCAAATTTTCAATTTTTGTTTTTTAAATATTTTATATTTAAATATTTTTAAAAATATTATTGTGGAAAACTTCCAGAAAAAAAATTCGGATTTAGCCTTAAAAGAATAAAATAATGGAAAAAATTATCGTCGATAATACTTGAAAAATGTGCATTTCAGTTGGTGTTATACTTCGACCGCGTCGTTTATCTTCCTTAACTATGAATAAAAGTAAATTATTATAAACATCGCGTGGATCGGTAGATAAATGTGCGTTAGGATCAGCGACAAGATCCATTGGAAATTGCTCGACAAGATCCTGAAATTGCTCTAATTTATAAAGGACTTCTTATAAAATCTCTGACATTTTATATGATTCAGCCGCTAATATGTGAAGACTTGAAATGTATAAAATTTTTAACAATGAAAAAGAAAAGAGTTACTCCATTTTCATCTTCAACAGATATTAGATTAGGCCTGAGTCTGAGAACCATTGGTTGTGCCCATATAGCGCTGTTTTTTTCTAGTTGTTTCAATTTTCTAATTCCATCTGATGGGTTTAAAAGTCCGAATTCTCGACCAACAGCAAAAGTAGCTAAATGCTCCACCCAGTACGAAGGAGTTTCATGCTCGATTATAGCGGCTCCTTGACGAGGACCTGTAATTAACAAAAAATTCTAATTTATTCGTCGAAAAACAATAGAAGTTTGTGCCAGAGATTGTACCTAATTCGCGATCTTTTTGCCCTCAGGGGCCTGTAAATTATGGAAAAGATTTTATTTATTACTTTTCAAATTTATATAATAAAAAATGAAAATGAATCTAAATCTAAAGTTTCAAATTATTTTTCAATGCAACCCTATGCTTATACTATTGTACTCTTGCGAATAAATTTATCGGATCCATAGATTTCATCAAACTACCAAAAGAAGGTGCACTACAAAAAAAAGAAGCCTAGAAAGTTTTTAGTGGAAGCCTAGAAATTTATCATACAACATAATACATCATGGCAAATCTATTAATATATAAGATGTCTAAAAATTGTACTGTTTAGATTGATTAAATAGATTGGAAGTAATTTAACCTTGATCACTCGAAAAATGTGTTAACAATAACCAAAGTACAAAATTGTTACAAATTTATCGAAATATATCGATGATAATTTAATTGAGACAAAAATTTTATTAGCTTATTTCGGAGAAAATAATACGAGTGAATACCTTGATGAATAGAATTATCGACAATTCCATTGTATTTAGCAGGTGGCGGAAACCTAGCATTTGATGCTATAGCAGGTGATGGCATACTTGAGGAAATGGAACTATTTCCAGTTGTTGCGCCACCACGAGAATAATAATACGATCCTGATATCGATGGATGTCGAGAACTTGTTGGATAACCACTAAATTTTTTTTTTCTTCTATTAAAGCGGATTAAAAATTTAAAAGTTTGTAAATTAAATTATTCATTTTAGGATTAAAAATTTTATGTCATCTAAAATTTATCATAATTTATCATTTTATCATTTATAATTTATCATTTATACGTAATTTTTCAAGAATTTTTCATTTTTTCCACGCAAATTTATATTCTATTATAAATAATTTTTCATTCGTAATTTGCTTGCATTTTTTTAACGAATGATTAATGATAAATTTCATGAAATTTATATTAAAATTAATGACCATCAATTAATTTATTACATGGAAAATTTCGTTTATATTAATTGCTTAAAGAAAATATAATATATAGAAAATATAATGGTACGAAAAAAAAACATAGAAATAATATTTCAAATATTTTGAAAAAAAAAAATTGCTAAGAAAAATATGTTTGATTTCTCGAGAATAATATAAATGATTATAATTAATATAAATAATTTCTCGAGAATAATTTAAAACTGAAAAATTTATAAAAAAAAATTTAAAAAAATTAAAATTGTGAAAAAATAAATAAAGAATTATAGCAATAAGCATAAGCACAATGAATGATAAAATGAGAAGCACAACGATTGATGAGACTGAAATCGAATCAAGTAAAGAAGAATAATGAAGAAAGACTTAATGAAGACTCCTATAAGCGATTAAAGGATAAAATTAAAAGATTAAAGATAAAGATTAAAGTTTTTTTATCAAAATTTTATAAAGAAAATCTTATAAAAAACAAATTATAAAGCTTCTTATTTCTTTATCTTTTAATAAAACATTTAAAAAAAAGGTGAGGAAAAAAATTTCGAAATTTCTATTTTCTCTTCAAAATTCTATTCTATTTCTAATAAATTATAATTCTAATAAATAAATAAACTTTAAAAAAATTATACGAAAAAGATAATCTGAAATAGATTTTGACTGATTTATTTCAAGCGATGAACAAGTATATGAGAACTAAGAATGACCTAAATATATAAAAGGCCCATAAAAGAACCCCAATGATATGCATATATGCACTACTCGTAGGATTTTCGCAATATGAAATGGATCGCCATTTATTATCATTAATCACACAAATTATACTTATAATACTGGATTTTCAAGTGTTCAATAAATAATTGAAGCAATAAATACAATATAAAAATCCAACAAATATAAAAAATATAAAAAATAAAAGTAAAGAAAAGAATAAAAGGATAGTAAATAAATTTTGTAAAATATATTACAAAATTACAATAAAAAATAAAATTAAAAATTGAATATCGCTAGAAATTTTTTAAATTTTTATGATTTTTGTTAAAATAAAAAATTAAATAAAATAAATTAAATAAAATCAAATAAAATAAAAACAAATTATAAAAAAATTTTGAAGCGCAGAAAATAACTAAAAATAACTAAAAATATTCTTTTATTTAAAAATGAAAGAAAATTTTACATAAAAATTAGAAAGTAGAAAAATACAATCAATGAATATAAAAATATAAAAATGATTTGCACCTTTTATCTATTTGATTGTGAAAAAAAAATTAATCAAAATCAAAATAATTAAAAATATGCATAAGTTTTAAAATTTAATAGGGATATGTGAAATTTGCGACAAATTTTTCTTTGGTCATCAAAATATTTTTTAAAAATTTCGTTGCTAAAATTAATCTCTAATTAATTGATATAATATTTACCTCAAATGAATCGTTTTATTTATTTTTCGTTCAAATTTAATTAAATTGAAATTGAATAAAATTGAACTTTTTTTGATTTATTGATTTATAGAATTATTATAGACCATTTCACTTTTTGAATAATTTCGGATTTAAAAAATTTATTTATTTATTATTATTTATTACTTATTAAAAAATATATATTATTTATTAAAAAATTTGGCTTTTTTAGAATTTAATACTAAAGTGATATGAAAAACAGCTGGCTAGTGAGCGAAAAAAAAATCTATACAAATACAAATGGAAATACAAAAATTTGTGTAAAAGAAATCTGTCGGGAGAGCGTCGATTAAAAAAATTACACAAAAACGTGAAACGAATGGAATAAATGAGAAGGGAAAGAAAAAAAAGAAGAGGGGGAGAAAGGGGGTGAAGAATGGAAGGGGAAATAACCGACATCGATAATATCGATGACAATTCTAATAAATATTATTTAAAAAAGGAATTTTTCTTTTTTTTTTTTGCACCAATGGCATTAAGAAATGCTTTCAAGAAAATAAGGAATTCGAAGAATTTTTTCCAGTTGAAATGAATCAACAAAAAAAAATTTTTATAGAAACTGGTTATTTTATATTAAATTTTAAAATTTAAAAAAAAATTAAAATAAATTAATAATAAAAAGAAGGAATTAAGATGACAAAAAATTTTATTGTCAACATTTGAAATTAAAAGAAAAATTTATTTATAAAAATTATAAAATTATTAAATATTATATTATTATAATATTATAATAAATATTATTAAATAAAATTTTTAAAATATTATAATTTTTAAATATATATATTTTTTAATATTTTTATACTTTTTTTAGTGAATATTTTTAAAAAATTATATGAAATACATTTGCATTAATTTTTTCAATTATTTAATATTTTAAAACAAAAACATTAAAATGAATATATTAATATTATTATTATGAATAATATTTTTATATTTTATACATAAATAATAATATTATGATATATATAATATTTTTATATAAAAATAATATTTTAAAATAAATTAAATATATATTGAATTCAAATATAAATAATACAAATAAACGAACATTTAAACAATACGGTTTTTTTTGCGACAAAATATTTTAATTGAATCATTTTTCATCAATTCACATTATATTGAAATTAAGCGAACTGATAAGTAAACATATATATTGAAAGATAACAAATAGATAACAAACTTTGATGCATTTTCCATGAGAAATTGTTGCCGATACCTGGTGGGATGCACCCCCGGCATTGCTCTTCGAGTTGTTGACGACAGTTTTGCAAGTCTTTAACGTTAATATGGCATCGAGCTGTAAAAAAAAAGAACGATAAATTACCTTATAAATTTAATACTAAATTTATACAAAAAATTGTGGGAAAAAAACGCGAACATTTAAATATTTTGAACTATTAAAATTTATATGGCGAAAATAATTCAGTCATCGTTTCAGATAAACATCAAATGTTTTTTTATTAATATTTAAAATAAATTCCCATTTATTAAATTATGTTTGAAGTCAAAAAATTAATTCCAAAAAAAGAAAATATAAAAAAAGTTTATCAGATTTATCAAAAAATCACTTATTTATAATATTAATAGAATAGAATACAAGAAACTGAAAAATTGGAATGATAATTCTTTTTTAAATGAAATGATTTCAATTAAAATTTGATTAAATTAATTGAATCACTTAACATTTCAATAAAACTTTTATTTCAATAATAACTTAAATAATTATAAATTAATAAATTTATATTTTTTATATATATATATTTTTTTTTAAATTTATATTTCTAAATAAAAATTTAAAAAGAAAATATGGAAAATATGGAAAGAAAATATGAAAAAGAAAATTTAAAAAGAAAATGCCAATAAGAATGCCAATTTTTTTAATTATTTAAACAAACAGGGAGAGGAATTTTAACAAAAATTACTAAAATAATACTAAAAAAAATAATCACTAATTTAATAAATTATTGAAAATTAGTGGAAATTCAACTTCGAATGGCAAAAAGATTATACGACTACGACTATAAATGATTATAAATAATTATGAATGAATACGAAGACAGATAAAAATAAGGCAAACAAATTGGCAAATATAGGTGGTGATAACACATTATCAGTGGAAAGCAATCAATGACAACTACGTATTAATGATAAGAATTCATTCATCGGTTAAACATACTATTCGCTTCAAATATTAAAGTAATTTATTCAACCATATAATCATATTTTTATATTATATAGAAATTTCATACATTTTAAATTTTATATATTAAAGAAGCGAAAATTTTAAAAGCATTAGGCCTTTACGAAACAGAAATCTCTATCTATTTCATTTATTCAATATTTATTGTAATTAGTTATTTCAATAATAATTATAATAATAATAATGATTAATTATAATAATTAGGCGAAAAACTAGCGGAAGAAATTACATTTCATCTTTCTCTACAATTTTTTTTACTATTGTAATCGGAAAACTGACTTATTAGCATTAAAAGCATACATCAAGAACAAAAAAAAAATTATCCAGTATAACAACATAAACAAGTATAGATGCGGATAATTAATAATTAACTTATAATTATTATAGAAGATATATATTAAATTTGGCTTTAATGACTATCATTCTTACATTTTTCCATCTATCTTTCACTTGCCTTCCATTTTCCACATTACTTAAATTCAATTCAATGAAAATAGAAACGAAAATGAAATCTAATCTAGTAGAGAATCTGGTTTCAACAAATCGTTTTATGATTATAATAGGAAATCTGGTTATTGCTGCAAAATTAATCCCAAAAATATGTGAAAATTGTTAATCGCCCGTATGATCTCGTAGAGATTTAAAATATTTTCATATATATATATAATTTAAAATACATGCAAAATATTGAATTAAAAAATTTAGTTCACCTTAGAAATATTCAAATAAAATTCGTTGAATAGAAAAGCTTATAAAAATTACTCTTAGTGGACTATTACTCTTAATTTCGAAACATTTTCGATCGTATTTCTTAGGGATACCTATAAATTTCAAGTTATACTGGCGATTTATCTATATTTCTACCATCAAGTGACTTTTTGGAAAAATTCGGATCAGATTCTATTTTCAAATCGAACTAGTGAGTGCTAGCGAGTTGAACCGGAAATAGTGAGCGTTGTTAGAAACAAGAAAAGTTCAACTTAACTTATGGCTAACTGCTATTATCCTATAAGGTAAATGTCAAGCAAACTCCAAAATTTGGATATTTCTTTTTTGCTCAGAATATATCCAAAAATAAAATTATGAAGCGATGCTTTTTTTTTTACAAATTGGAAAAAATAAAATAAACTCTTTAAATTTAACGAGTTAGAAGAATGAGTTAAATGGGTTAAATTTATGAGTTCAATAAAGAAAATAATATTTACAAAACTAATGTACGAATTATATAGGAAAAATAATGCTGATAATGGCAAAAAAATTCTTAATAAAAATTGAAAATCGAAACCAGTTTCCGTGAAAAAACTATGGAATAAATGTTCGTTTTCCATAAAAACCATTCTTCTTCCGTCAAAAATTATTGAAACAAAGAAATTTAATATTAAAAAAAAAAACTGTTGAACAATTGTTTTCACCCGTTTTTTGTTTTGCGAATAATTTTTTATGACATAATTACGAATACGGATTGAATGAGAAAAAATCGAGTATATTAATAGGAAAAAAAAAAAATTTTACACAAATCTAATAAATAAATAATAAAAATTGGGAAATTTCTTAAAAAATTTAAAATAAATTGTTCATTTAGATGAATATTTTATAAATTAAAAGTTTTTAAAATATTAAAAATTAAAAAAGAAAATATTTTATTTTATAAATTAAAAGAAAAAAATATTCTAAATAATAAAAAAATATAGAATTCGTTAATAAAAAATTTGACAAATAATATTTCTGTAAAAAAAAAAAAAAAACCTATGACGAACAATGGCTCAGTGCATTGTTACTCTCATTTCAATGCAATGATACTGCTGTTCTGCTTCCCGATGCGAGTAAATTCGTCTTTCAATAAATAATTCGACTGATGGCACTCACTTGTACTTCTGTAACAAAATGAATCCCCGAAAGACAAAATTTGTTTAGGCCGACATGTCGGCGTAATGAGCCTAACGAACTAGAAATGAATGTTCATAGAAAAAAAAATAAAGCAATAAGTGAAACGGATAAATGAAATGAAAAAATTTATGCAAAGCCAGAAAAGATTTTTTCGCGAAAAAATTTCAGGTCAATGCAAAATTATTTTCTATGAAAACGAAGACGAAGAAGAAGAAATAATCCGCACTAAAAATCTTTTGACCTTAAAGTTATGAGTTATTGCTGAGAGAAATGTGGAAAATAATCGAAGAAAAAATTGTAATAGTGATGAAATTAAATGATTTTCTCCGATATGTTTCAATATTTAAAAAATTTTTAAATGCGATAAATAGTAATATAAATATTCATTTTTTGGTAATTTGAAAGTATTTTTTGATGGAAACCAACGGGAATAACTGTTTGCTTTAAATAGAAAAACAGTGCAAACAAAAGAAAAATAAAAAAACAAAGAAAAAAATCAAATAAGAATTAATTACTTGAATTAATTTAAAATGAATAAATGTATTGCAAAGATATGTATGGGAAAAAAAATTCCAACCGAAAGCGAATTTAGAAAATTTATAAAATTTTAAATAATTAAAAATGGGACGAAAAAAAATTCTATATTTTAAACTGATCAAAATGATTAATTAAACTAAAAAAATAAATGGGTGGAAAATGGAATATGTAAATGAAAAGGGAATATATAAGAAAATTTTAAAAAATGCTAAAAACTAATGGTATCAGAAATAATATAAATTTATTCGATATTAAATTATCTGATAAAAAATTACTCATAAGAAACATAAAAAGTGAGCAGAAAAACTTATTATAGAGAAAAATATTCTTTTGATTTTTTGGAAAAATATTAATAGGATAAATGCACTCCAGAATTTTACAAAATTTATATTTTATAAAATTTATATTGCATTTTATAAAATTTATGACATTTTTTAGACATGATAAACATTTTATCACCAGTGAAATTTATTTTCAAATTAATATATAACTAGAATCAAATATTAATGAAAAATAAATTTGTTGACTGCTCGATCGCTGGAAATAAATAATACTTGAAGTAATTAATCAAAAAAATGATAAGGCGGATTAGCGCTTAATTAATTGGTTAAATTCGCTTCCCGTTGGCTTTGAAGTATAAAATTTTTGAGGAAATAAATTAGGAAAAATTTAATTTAATCGATCCTCTCAATTAAAAAAAAAAAACCAAAAATTCTATAAAAAAAACCATAATTGATAATTTTCATATAATTTTAAAAAATTCTTAACAATAACGAAATTTTTCCGATTTACCAAATCCACATCGAACATTCATGCTAAATTTTCGAGCATAAAATGATTTTCTATCGAATGAATTGATTGGCCTCTATTCTTGTTTCTGTTCATAAAGGACAAAAAGATAACTTTATAACGAACCCAAAATTAACTTCGATGCGCTAATTGAGAAAATAGTTCCATATCAAGCATGAATAACTATTAAAAAATTATGGCAAAATTAAAAAATTGTGTTAAATAGAAGAAAAGATATTGAAGAATTTCCCAAGGATCCACACCAGAGAATTATTTCACCATTAAAATAAATGATAAATTGTGATTTCATGAGCAAATCTCAACTAATCTCAAACTTTTCAGCTTTATTCCTTAGCTAATGCTATTATTTAAGGAAATTTCGATTTATTTTATTTTTTTTGCTATGAATTCTTAACAAATTCGTAATTTTCTTTATGACTTGACCAATATTCATTTAACAAAATTGGTTTTTCGCTACTCATAAGATAGCGAAAGAAGAATGAATCTATCTTCTTATCTTATCACGACCTTCAAATACTGTATTCCATTACCTTCATTTTTAATTACCAAATGAAACTAACTAAATTCTAAATTTAGTTATTTCATTAAATATTCGATGAAATATTTAAAAAAATAAAACTAAATCAATAAATAAAATAAAACCCAGTGATCAATGAAAATATTTTTTTTCCATTTATTGTAAAAAAAACCGTTTAAATTCTATTTTAGTAAATAAATTTTAATTTTAATAAATAAAAAAATAAAAAACACACTAATTAATAATTGCTTATTTAATAATAATGTTTAATAATCAAAATAATATAAA